TCCCTCCCTTTCTCCCCTCTCCCTCGCTCTCTCTTTCCTTTGCCTCCCCCCTCTTCTCCTTTGCTTTCTCTCAATGCTCTTCGTCTGTCTCTCTTCTTTTCAGTCTATCTCTCTTCTTCTCTTCTCTTCTCTCATCTCTCTCTCATGCTGCCTCTCCCTCTCTCTCTTTCTCTCTCTCCTCTTCATCTCTCTCTCTCCTCCTCTCTCTCTCTCTCTCTCCTCTCTCTCTCCATCCCGCTCCCCCTGCCCCTTCTCGTCTCTCCATCCCTTTCCCTGTCTCCCTCTCTCTATCCTTCCTCCCCCTCCCGCTGTCTCCCCTCTCTCCTCTCTTATTCTTCCTCCCCCCTTTCTTTCATCCCCTCCCTCCTCTTTCTGCTCTCTCTCTCTCTCTCTCTCTCTCTTCTCTCTCTCTACTCCCTCATCTCTGTCTCTCATCCCTCCTCCCTCCTTCCTCTCCCTCCCTCCCCGCCTTTCTTCTCTCTCTCTCTCTCTCTTCTCTCTCTCTCCTCTCTCTTCTCTCTCTCTCTCTTCCTCTCTTCTCTCTCTCATCTCTCTGCATCCTTCCTGTCCCTCTCCCTCCCTCCCCCCCCCTCTCTCATCTCTCCCCGCAAAACCCAGTGGCAAAAAATCGTTGAAGTGGCGTGGGCGCGTGTCATGTGTGTTTCCTATCACTCTCTTGAAAAGACGAGAGCGGGTATTCGGGGGGGGGGGGGGTCTTTTATATAATATTCTGTGAAGGTGGAGATTCATTCAGTTTGTATCGGCGGATTATGGTTGTGCTGTTTCTCTCTCTGTCTCTCGTTGTGCTCGTGATCTTGGGTCTTTTTTAATCGTCTTCTAATCTTTTGATTGCTTTCTTGTTCTTTTTTTTTATTTCCTTTTTGTTTCTTTTTCTCTTTCTTTGTGTCTCTCTCTGCTTTTCTTTTCTTAGTCTCTTCTCCCTCTTCTTTTGTTCTGTCTTTTCTCTCTTCTCCTCTAACCCCCCCCCCCCCCCCCCTCTCTCTCTCCTTCTTTCCTCGTCATTCCCTCCCCCTCCCTTTCTCCTCTTCTCTCCCTTCTCTCGTACCACCTCTATCCCCGTCCCTCCACCTCCCTCCCCCCTCTTCTCCATCTTTTCCCTTTCCGCTCTCTCTCTCTCTCTTGCTCTCTCTCTCTCTCTCTCTCTCTCATCTCTCTCTCTTCTCTCTCTCTCTCTCTCTCTCTCTCTCTCTCTCTCTCCTCTCTTCCTTCTCACTCTCATCTCTCTCTCTCTCTCTCTCTCATCTCTCTCTCTCTCTTCTCTCTCTCTCTCCCTCTCCCTCCTCTCTCTCCCCTCTCTCTCTCTCCCTCTCTCCCTCTCTCCCTCTCTTCCTCCTCCCTCCCTCCCTCCTCTCTCTGCTCTATTCCCCTCCACTCTTTCCCTTTTCTTTCTCCCTCCTTCCCTCTCTCGTCTCTCTTGCTCTTTTATTATTCCGTTGGAAGTCACCGGTGGATGATGTGTGCACAGCCGAACAAGACTGCGCCGTCACCCAACCTTGCCAGAGTACTCATGAATGCACAGAATGTACACTGATGCATCGAGGTGTGAGGAAAGGGAGAGGGAAATGTGAGGGAAGGGTAGGGATAGGAGGAAATAGGAGAGAGGAGGAGGAATAGGAGGGATAGAAGTAAGGAGGAGGGTAGGGGAGGGGAAGAAGGGGGATGAGGGAAGAAGATGAGTTGGAGGGATAGAAGAAAGGAGGAGGGATAGGTGGAAGGGAAGGAAGAGGAGGAATGGGAGAGAGGAGGAAGAAGAGGATGAATAGGAGAGAGGAGAAGAATAAGAGGGTAGGAGAAAGGGGAATGGGAGAGAGAAGGAGAGAGGGGAGGAAAGAAGGAAGGGGAGGGAGATGGAAAAGAGGGGGAATAGAAGAGGAGGAGAATAGAGAGAGGAGATGGAAGAGGAGGAATAGGTTAAAGGAGAAGGAAGAGGAGTAATAGGAGAGAGAAGGAAAAAGAAAAACGAGAGAGAGCAGGAGGAAGAGGGGGAATAGGAGAGAAGAGATGGAATCAGATCAGATAAAAGGAGGGAAAGGCAAAGAGGCGAAGTAAACCGAAAGGCGAACGTAAGAAATGAATGAAGGAAAAAGAAAAAAAAAATAGACTGCAAGAAGCGTAATCACGAAAGAAGAGGAATTAAATATAATAAATATATCTAAGAAAACAATAATTGATAAGCCACCTGTACGAGAAACCCCCCCCCCAAAAAAAAAAAAAAAAAAAAAAAAAAAAATCTCATATCTTTACAGGCGGGGGAGTGGTGTGAGTTGTACGTTGATGAAATGGAATAAAAGGAGAAAACGATAGATAATAACTATAAGGAAAGCGAATAATTAAAGGAAATTTCAATTAGGAAAGAATGATTGGCACACATACACATACATACACAAACACAAATACACACACAAACACACACGGACACAACAAAACACACACACAACCACACGCACACACAGACACACACACACACACACACACACACACACACACCAACACACACAACACACACACACACACACAACACACACAACACAACACACACACCACAACACACACCACACACCCCCCCCCCCCCCCACACACACACAACCCCCGCCCCAACAACACCCCTCCACCCACACACAAACCTCCCACCAACAACACTACACCGCAACGAGGACCAGAGGAAGACAACCTAAGGAACGGTATGGCCGGGACAAGAACAGGGACACAAACAGCGAAGAAAAATCCTATTGACTGAACGGACGCTGTATACTACCGGCGGAAGAAGGGGAGGGGAAGGGAGGAGTGGGGAGGGGAAGGGAGGGAACGAGGGGATGGGGGGTGAGGGAGGGAGCGGGGGAAGGGGGAGGGGAGGGGAAGGGAGGAAGTGGGGGGATGGGTGAGGGAGCGGGGGAAGGGAGAGGGGAGAGAGCGGGGGAAAGGGGATGGGAGGGAGTGGGGGGAAGGGGAGGGCGCTATATACTACGGCAGAAAGAAGGAGGGGAAGGGAGGGAGCGGGGGGAATGGGGTTAGGGAGCGGGGGGAAGGGGGAGGGGAGGGAGCGGGGGGAAGGGGAGGGGCGCTATATTACTACGGCAGAAAAGTACCCGTCGTGTTGAAAGGGGTTGGGGTGGGGGTGGTGGTGTCGGGGGCTTTCTGGAAGGGGTTGCGGGGAGGGGGAACGAGGAGGGAACGAGGGGAGGGGAAGGGGAAGGGAACGGAGGTGAGGGACGGAGTGGGGGAAGGGGGTTGCGGGGAGTGGGGAGGGGAGAGCGAGGATGGAACGAGGGAGGGGAGGGAGCGGGGGGAAAGGGAACGGAGAAGGAAAAGGGGTGGGAAGGAAGGGAGGGAGCGGGGGTTGGAGGAGGAAAGTGTACCCAGAGGAGGGTAGGCGTGGGTGTTGGGAAGGGGGTAAGGGGTTAGAGTGGCTTGTTTAGGGTTTGAAGGGGAAAAGAAATGGGTTGAAGGAGGGGGGAAGGGTGGGTGGGTTGGCTTGTGGGTTGGGTTAGAGAGGGTGGGGGGAGGGGGTACGAAAAAGTTGGTTTGAAAAAGATTGAGGGTTTAAAAAAAAGGAACTTGAAGGGGGGAGAGGGGAGAATAAGCTGTTGGTACCTGGAAAAGAATAGCAAACGGTACCAAGAATGAATGTATCACGTGGTATGCAATGGTACTCAGCACTTCCAGGAGCAGAGAGGTACTGGAAGGTTTTGTGGTATTAAGGTATGTATATGGTAGATGACAATACACTTATAAATGGTAATCGTAGGAGGAATAGCGAATGGTATCACAGAGAATACCATGATAAGGGTAAAGGGGCAGGGATGTTACTAAAAGGATGCTGGTTTTAACGATACCAATAAAAAGAACTGAAGATTAATAAAAATGGGACAAATAACAGATGGTACACATGCTTTATCCGTAATACCATGTTATTTAGTGGTTACATATATATGTATATAATTTCTGTATTGGTATCATTATCATACGCCTAATTTTATCACTATCGTTTTCACTCCACGATAATGAAACAGAATGTGATAATGAAATCGTATGGAATGAGGCATAAATCACTAATTCTAGGATAAGGATCGTACGATTTTTATATCATGTA